AACGGGGATGAGGTTAAGATGCCTGGTTGTGAACATGATGCCACCGCCTTAGAATCGTCGCATGCCAACCTGCCAGGTACTGTCTTTGCATGGCCGAACGATGGATCGCAACAGATGGTTGGGGTGTACCGAACACCCGAACAAGCCATAGCTGCATCGTTGACTTTGAGGCATCCGCTGGAGTTTGCAACGCCGTTGCCAGATCTCCTCACCATGTGCGTGGTGGATGTCTTGAACATGGGCCCAAAAGCCCTGGTGCAGCTTCGGAGCCAAAACCTTTCGTGGATCTTGCAAAGGAGACAGGCGCTGGCAGCTCAGGAAGCCACGGTGCATTCACAGCTTCACCCCGACATGGCCACTTGTTTAAAAGGCAAACAAACTTGCTTGTGGGGTGAGTTGTTAGAGCATACGGGGTTTCCCGATGATTCCTTAGTGCGGGAGGTGCGCCAAGGGATCGAAGTCGTAGGCACGTCAGCTTGGTCACCTGTGTTCAGGAGGGGCTACAGCGCTCCAGAGATGACCGAAACACAGTGGCAGGCACAGGCAGTGTGGAGGCGTAAGGCCGCGATGGCAGCTTGCAAACAAGGCGATGACCCAGAGCTGGCGGATTCTTTGTGGCAGCAAACCTTGGACGAAGCCCAGGCGGGCTGGATCAAGGGTCCGTTTATGTCCGAGGAGGATGTTTCAGCTGAGCTGGGTGTTGCCGATTGGGTCTGCACCAAAAGGTTTGCCATTCGCCAGAACGACAAAATCAGAGTGATCGACAATGCTAAAGCTTCTGGGATCAATGGAGCTTTCTCGACGTACAACAAACTTCAACTGATGGATGCTGACACGTTGATCTCCTTGATCTTGCTGATAGCCAGGTGTGCGTTTGCGAGTTCGCAATCGAAAGTCGTCTTGTCGACTGGAGAGGTGATCACATGCACTCCACACTCCTCTTGGAAGAACGACTTGCACTTAGTGGGCAGGACGCTTGATCTTGCAGCGGCTTACAAACAGATGGGTATGAACCCATCGAGGCCACAGGTGAGACCGTTAGTGGTGTGGTCGCCGGAACACCAGCGACCGGTGTTCTTTGTGGCCACGTCATTGATGTTCGGCACTACTGCTAGCGTATACTCCTTTAACAGAGCCGCATTGTCCCTTTGGCATCTAGCCGTCACGCTGGGGAAGCTGTGGATCACGTGTTACTTTGATGACTTTCCAGGTGTCGATCCTAGTACCACGTCAAAGTCAGGCCGCGCTTTCTTGGAAGGGTTACTGCAGTCTCTTGGATGGCGCTTCGCCAGCGAAGGCAAGAAGGCGCAACCGCATGCTCCGGTGTTTAATGCTTTGGGTGTAACCCTTGACTTAACCTCGGTGCATCAAGGTGTGCTAACTGTGTACAACAAGTCAGAAAGAAAGAAAGAGCTGATGCGTCAAATCAGCGAGGTTCTGGACAGAGGTCGTTTGACTTCTACGGAGGCGGCAGCGCTGCACGGCCGCCTCAACTTTGCGCAAGGGCAGTTGTTTGGATGCGTTCTCAAACCTGCCATGGCTTACTTGAGTAAATGGGCCGATGCACCGTGCACGTCGCCTGAAGACCTTGCTAAGGTGATGACGTACTTGGCTGCGGCAATTTCGCGGTCGCCGCC